CAATCACTGTGTTATTATAATATCCACTTGCCTGAATCTGGTGCCTGGGTACTGCTTGTATCTGAGTCCAAACTGCTTGTTTCTGTTGTTACACTGCTTGAATCTGAGTCTGCATTGTTGGTATCTTCTACTAAGTTGATTGTTTCTAATGAAGCCGCCATTCTTGTGCTATCTGATTGATTTTGTTTGAAGCTGCTAGCTATTGACTGCACAGTATTTATGTGTACACGACTCTGGAATTGTGGCGTGGTTTACATGTCAGAGCAAGTCACACCACAGTTCTATAAATATGATAGACAGATAGACTGACAATCTGTGAAATGTAAACTGCATGTGAGTATGTTGTGATAATCACCTCCTTATTAAGATGCACTAGCCTGAGCTAGCTCTGCTAAGCATCAAAAAATTGCCAATTCAGTCAAACTCAATTTTTGCTGGCTCATTGAGACATAATGCTACAGTATTATGCATGCAATGTATCTGTATATTTAAATCATTGTCACTTCCTTTTTTGTTATTTATTCTGTAGCTTCAGGAATCATTTAAATATTATAAAACTTTTATTAAATAAAAACACTCAAGAAAATAATCAGCAATTTATTGAAAGCAAAAAAGAAAAAAATACCACACACTATTTAAAAATTTGTTCTTTATGTGTTTACTGAATGAAAGTTTGCAACTACATGCATTCTATTCCAATGTCTTTCTTTACACTCTCCTTTTGTTCCTCTAACTTGTTAGCGTAGTCCAGTAGCTTAGTAACTACTCTTGTCTTGGATCCATTTGTTAAACTGGTGCTGCTCTGTATGATTTCAGCTATGTCAATCGGAACTGATATTACATTCAGTGCTATTGCAGCTCCAGCAACCCCTCTAGCTGCAGCGCCTCCAACCCTAAATGCTAAAGCACCAAACTCCATAGAGCCACCCATAGCTAGTTCTGCTATCCTTAGACTAAGATTCCCTGTACGTAAAGTGCTTGTGAACAATTGTGTCGTTATAGAAGCAAACTCTTCTGCATTATTTTCTACGTCGGGGCATCTTTGATCGACTTTTCCCACATTGCTTTCGAATTCTTTGATTATCTCGAGCAAATTTTCAAATGAGCTCTGATCTTTATTATATATTCTCTGAGCTTCTTCTATCTTCTTTTTCTCAATAACAATGTCAGCAACTGATGCTCCTCCTGCAGTAGCTCCTCCTAAGCTACTTAAGGTTATTCCAGTTATGGCAATCGGAAGAGCTGCACCAGCAGTAAATGGTGTTAACACAAAACCAATGATAGACATCACACCACCAACAACAGATACAGAAGAGCCAGTGATTCGAGATATGTTGACGTCATGATGAGCCCTTTGCAATTTTTCTGCTACCTCTCTGTATATTCTTATGGTTTGCTCACGAGCTTTTATCCATTCATGAAATGCATTAAGAAGCTTCTTCTCCAACTCACAGATCACATTTAATGGTGTGTTTCTGTTTTAAAGAGTAAATAATAATAATAGCAAAATTACAGAAACAAACCTTGTGATATAATAGCTTCTGGACATAGTGGATGTACGTTCTGGAGTCTGTATGGGCCTTGCTCCATTTTGTTCGATCCTTCTTTGAACTTCCATCATGATGTCTGTTAGACTTCTATCAGCAGAAGCTTTATACAAA